CAATATATAGTATTAAATAATCATGATTTTAGATAGTTAAAAATTGTTTAGTTTCTATGATAGAAATAATATATCAATATTATGTGTCAGCCCTGTCTACTAGAAATATAGGTCACAAATACAATACATACATGTAATTGCATTTAAAAAGTAAAAAAGAAACACTATTAAACTCATTATGTCCAAAATATTATTTTACCATGTAGTTAATAAAGATATTTAGAGAACACATTCTTCTTTTTTCCTTTAAATTTTAATTTTTATTAGTGCATGCTAGCGTAATGGTTTCATTCGTCATTGGTATGTGCAGCACATAGCAATCTTGATTCTTTTTACTTCCTTTCCCCCTCCCAACCTTCTCCCCTACCTCCATCTCTTGGTTCCCTTCCCATTTGTAAAAATCTCTCTTTCCTTTTATCTTTTATTTTGCTCTTTTATTTATGCTTTCAGTTTCTTATATAAGAGAAACCATACAGTATGTAAGTTTGACTATTTTACTTACCATATGGTCTTGGGGTGCGTCCATTTTTCTTTTTTTTTTTTTCATTTTTAAAATTAATTTTCTTGGGCCAGGGATTTAGCTCAGTGGTTCTGCCACCTGCCTTGCAATCACAAAGACCCAAGTTTTATCCCTGCTACAAAAAATTTTTTTTTTTAATTTTCTTGGTACGTTTAAAGTATACAGTATAATGACATTCGTCATTGGAAATTTGCACCTTTACATAATCCATCTTGATTCTTATTTTTTCCCATTTCCCTGCCCTTTCAACTCCTCCACAATGACTTTGTTTCCATTTTTTTCTTTTTTCTCCTATTAATTCCATTTCCTTCTTTCTTTTCCCCTTCCATTTTTCTACAGATGACTCATTTATACATCTTTATAGCAGAATAGTACTCCATTGTATATAAATACCATATTTTCTTTCTTTCTTTCTTTTTCTTTTTTTTTGTACTGGGGATTGAACTCAGGACTTTGCACTTGTGAGGCAGGTGGCGGCACCACTGAGCTAAATCCCTGGCCCAATACCATATTTTCTTTATCCATTTATCTGTTGATGGACAGACATGTAAGCCACTTCAAGATTTAACTATTATGAATTGTGTACCACATTTTCTTTATCCACACATCTGTTTATGGGTATTTAGGTTGTTTCCAGTTCTTGGATATTGGGAATATTGCTATATTGAATAGAAGAGTAATATTTGTTGGTATCCCAATTTGTATTCTTTGAGATAAATACTCTGAAGTAGCACTTTTGTTTTGAGCAGGGGTGGGGGGTTGTTTTATTTTGAGACAGGGTCTCACTGTGTAGTTCAGGCTGGCCTTGAACTCACTATGTAGCCCAGTATGACCTGGAACTAACAATACCTAGGCCTCAGCCTCCCAAGTTCTGGGATTATAGGCATGGATCACCATGCCCAGCTGGCAATTGTTGAATCATATGCTACTTCTATTTTTAAGTTTTTCAGGAACCTCCATACTGTTTTGCACAGGGATTGAACTCCTTTGTACCCTCATGAGTGAGTAAGAGTTCTCACCAATGCAACCTCATTACTCTGAGGTAATATCTCATTGTAGTTTTAATTTTTTTAAACCACAGAAACTATTCAGTATTTACTCAAGCATGTCCTTTTTATTTCACTTACGAGAATAGCCTCAATATGCATCCAATAAACTCTTAAGTTACTAGGCATTCTTGATAAGGATGAAGCCATCAATTTAACTCTTCTTTCATTCCCTTATTTCCTCTCCCCTCCCCTTCCTACTTCCCCTTTAGCAATTTTCTTCTTATTTCACACTCCCAATTATATTCCTACACCTTAAACCTTTTCTTCCTGTTTCACATTGTCAGAGAATTTGGATCTTATTTACACTTTTAGTTTTTCACACCACAGAAACTATTCAGTATTTGTATATGTGTCTTATTTATTTCACTTAAGAGTAAGGCCTCAATATGCATCCATTTTCCTATGAATGACTCTAGTTTCTCATTCTTTATGGCTAAGTAGTACTCCATTTTATAGAAAAACCACATCTTCTTTATCCAGTCTCCTACTGATGGGCAATTGGGCTGTTTCCAAGTTTTAGCTATTACAAACTGTGTTGCTATAAACACGAGTGTGCTTATATCACTGTGGTTTGATTCTTTTAATCCTTTTGGAAAGATATCCAGCAGAGGGAAGGCTGGGTCAAATGGGACTTCTAATCCTAGTTGTTTAAGGTATGTCTATTTTGATTTCCACAGTAGTTGCACCAGTCTGCACTCCCACCAACAATGAAGAAGGGTTCCTTTCTCCCCAGAACCCCACCAACATATGTTATTGGTTAATTTCTTGGTAGCAGCCATTCTTTCTGGGGTGTGGTAGAATCTATGTTGTTTTCATCTGCATATTTCAAGTGACCAGTGATGTTGAACATTTTTTCATATATCTATTTGCTGCTTTTACTTCTTTGTTTGAAAAATGTATTGATCTGTTTTTTAAACTCATCATTTCGAGTAATTTAAGTCTGTGGCTTTTTTTTTTTTTTTTCGGTATTGGGGATCAAATTCAGGACCTTGTGCTTGCAAGGCAGGCACAGTACTAGTGAGCTAAGTACCCAGCCCAAGCCTGTGGTTTTTGATTCCTCCCCTTGCTGATCCAGGTATTGGCACGGGGAATTTTGGGAAGCATTTTGTTGTCTTCTCACGTTTCTAATTTATTTATTTATTTAGGTGTGTTTGTTTCCTTTGTGCGCTAAAGTTTGTGGGCGCTTATAGTAGAAAGATTTTGTTGTTAGTATGGAGGTCTCTTTAGTTAGTGTCTGCTTTTTCAGTGATGTACTCTGTGGCTAACTGTTGGCTTTTGTGTCTCTCCCAAGATCTGACCATCTCCATTAATTTAGTATAAATTAAAGTATAGGATTCATCATAATCTGCCCCATACCCCATTCCCAGGAATAAATCACAGTATTGTTTATGACACATAGACAATTTTGATATCAGCATATAAAGAAAGTCTGTGCCACCACCCTGGCAATAGAATCTAAATCAACAATCATAACAATATGAAAAAAACTGAATATTACCTTATTATAAAAACCAGTCATATTATTCTTAATCATAGAAAAGATATCTATAATTATGTTATAAACACTAAGATAAACCAAATATTGACATATATCTACTAAATCTAACAACTATATCTCTACTAACAATAGAAAAAAACTTCAAGAGTAACAGCATAGTTAGCTATCTAAAGATTAATAAAGCTTAATGGTTATACTAATAAAAGTACAGAGGGTAGATAGAGAATGGGAAAATGAAAAAATTTGAAAAATTATGAAAAATGAGAAGAGAAAAAATTGTGCTAATGGATCCTATTAAGGAGTAAATGAAATTAAAGAGGAAAAAATTCTTCTATATTTTTGAATGCGTGGATTCTTTCCCCTGTATGTAGTTTTGTAATTCAGCAACTCATGGTTTTCTCTGCTTAAGTTTGTGGCTTATGGGTTTGTGAAGTGCTCCAGAGGCCCCTGTATCAGTTCATCCCAGGCATCCAAGCTGAGTTGTACCCTTGCTTGCTTTGGAAGATGGAGAAAGCAATTAGACCTCTGATTTGTGCTTGATGTAGACAGCAGAGAGAGGGTTGAAGCAGACCCCTGTATTTAATTCCAGTTCTTTTAAACATCTGCCAATGAAAGCCACATACACTGGGCCTGGCTTCTTACCACAGTGGGTAGAGCTGCTGTCTTTCTTGGCCTGAGGTTAAACTTCTTAACCTCTCTTTTGTCTCTCTCCTGTGGAAGAGTCACTCTTTCAGTCACTGTGGGAGGATAATATAGGGAACCCTAAAGTGGGGGTATTTTGTAGCTTTGTAGCTCAGTTTTAAGACTCCTTTCTGAGGTGGTGCCTGATTAAACACTCTCGTAATATTTTGGGTTCTGCACTTGACTTCTCCAACTAGCCTTCCTGTGGAAGAAGTCCCTTTCAAAACCTCATACTGTTTTTGCTTTTTACAATGTTCACGGGCTTTTCTTGGCACTAGTGCTGCTAGTCCAGTCTGTTGCTCCCTGGACCTCCAACCCTAGTGGCTTACCTTGTGTTTGTTGAGACAGGTTCCCTTCTCCAGAGCTAAGGTGAGCTTCCAGAGTGCTTCATTCTTTGCTCTGCATTGTACTGTTTCTTTAGCTTCTCTGTAGTTTCTAATTTTCCTATCAGTTCCCAGAGATACACTTTTTTTTCTTCTCTTCACCAAGTTATTTTCCAGGTTACTTGATCCCAGGTCCTGGAGAGAACATATTTTGCTGCTGATTGCTACTTTGACATTTTTCTTTCTCTACCTTATTTTTTTTATGTACTCAATCCTCAAAATATAGTGTGTATTTTATACCTAAGGCACAACTCAGTTTGCACTGGCCATATATTAGAGTGCATAGTAGCTATGCATAGCCAATGGCTGCCATATTGTAGAGACATTTGGTGGTATTTTGTAAAATGCTATATGACTTGCAATTACTACCTGCTAAATACTATATGATAAAGTATTTTAGATGCATTATAAAAACTAAAATGATAGAAGTTTAAAGAGCAATAACAAAGTGCTTAGTTACCCATTTTCAAGAAAACAGCACTTTTATTTTTTATGGTGTTGTATAATTTTTTTGTAATGGAGGGAAGGGGAGATATGAAATGGGGAAGAAAAATCTAATCTTTTTTCCTTAGGTTTTGTGTGTACTATTTTTATTATCTAATCATCTCAATTTATAAAGTATTGTGGTATTACAGATAGGTATTAACACAGAAGGTAACATGCAGTTTGCATGTGAGTGATCAAATTAATAATTTTATTATATATAATGTGTGTCACTACTGGGCTTAGTATCTGATATTTTGAAAATAAAAATATGTTAGTGACTGTTTCTGTTTGTGCTTTTAATTTTATATATCATATATCATTGCTTTTCCCTAGATAATTCGTGTTGATGATGTTTTATTTTCTAATTATTTTTATTCTTGCAGGCTGCTGAATCAGGAATAATAAAAGTTAAAACAATAGCTGCAAGAAACACCGAAATTTTGGCAGGTAATATTTTGCATTACAACTTCAACAATTAATGAAAAATAGACTAATAGTAAAAATGTAGTCTTAAAGCCATCAATTTTCTGATTCATCCCTTTCTCATGTGTTTTCCGTAGTGATACAGAATGTGTGAATATCCGTAACTTAGGAACTGATTGTTTTCCAGAGGTTAGAGCTGTAAAATTGTCTGAAATCAGAAAGCTTAAAACTATTAATTTCTTAAAGCCCAGGAGTTTTTCTTACTCATCTTTACTTCCGCCTCTTCCCACTTACCTAAGAACCACCTTATTCACAGAAGTCATTCAGTTAATATTTGTTACATGAAATTGAATGAAAGATTGAGTCTTAGTTAATTTTTGAAGATCTAGTTTATCCTTAACACAATATTAACAATTCACAATGTGATGTTGTATATTTAGTACTACTGTATAAATTTTGAGTTTTGGGTGAAGAAGTAGTGAAAGTAGGGTGGAAAAAAGGAAACAATTTCTTTTTATTTTTTGATTAAACTTGATTTTCAAGAAGGAGTTTTCAAGAATTTCTCTTTAGTTTCATTTGTTTGGTGCCTTCTGATCTCAGTAATGAACATGAAATGAGGGCAACTTTTTTGTTAGTTTTCTTTTTTGAGACTGTGTTATATATGAGGTACTTGCACTTTTCTATCCTATAGAAGACTATTTTGTGGGAAATATTATTTAACAGTAAGTAGATTGAGTGAAATGCAAAGAGATTAAGTTACTTTTCAAGGTCACATCACAAGTAGTGGAACCAGATTAAAAGCCAGGTGTGTTCAGAGCCAGTGTTCTTCCTCCCGTAGTGTGCTGCCATGCTATCTCAAGATTTCCACGTTAGTCACTCCCTCCAAGTGTTTCATCCTTAACCATTGCTTACTACTTTGATTTTTTTTACACTGCATATACAGTGCCAGTAATGCCTTTGATCTTAGATAGTGTAGCAGAAAAGAGGTCTTACATAGTTAATTTACACAAAGTCTTAATGGTAAAGAATTTATTTAACACATACATTTTACACTTAGAAAGGATACCAGTAAACTAATTTATGAGATTTCAGAGTGTTATAAAATAAAATAAAGTTTTTTTTGAGGGTGCAGTTTAAGGATGGGGGGCTATTAGGCTTGTTCTAAATTTGCCCTTAGGTTTAGTTTTCCTAAGTTGCATCTGTCTCACAGCTTCTTTCCTGACTTTCAGCAGTCAGTCAAAAGCACAAAATAGTTTTGTAACGTTAGTCACAGAAGTGAAAAATGTTCTGTGTGCATATTGAGGAGTGTAGTGAACACGATGGGTAAAGGCAAAGGTATGTGTGGTTGGTTTATAAGCAGGTACTACGTTTTGGGAGATGTATGTTGAGTGGATTAGCTACGGTGGGAAAATAGTGTTTAAAGATAAATTATGACCTTGATATTTTAAAGTTGGAAACATATAGGCCAGTTATATAAGTATACCATTGTAAATATTTACCTTTGGTATTATCATTGCTGATATCATGGCAAGTCTTTACAAAATTAAGGTTTTCATTCATTCTGTTGTTGGTGGATTTCTTCCAAGAATCGCTTGTTCTAGAGTTTTATACAAAATAAAATGTCTAATTACTTAATCCTAAGGAGAGTAAGAAAGTTTGGGTTAGTTGGTTTGAGTTTAAAAGTGGGCTGTTACTATTTTAATTTGTTAGTTTCATTTACATCAATTTAGAACATGTTTTTTATACACATACAACAATTCCTGAGTTAATCTCTATAATTTCCAGACCCATGTACATGAGGAAGTTACTAGCATTTAAACTTTATCCTATTTTTAAACAAATATTTATAGCAATTGATATGTAAAGAATATAGATTAATAGATCAATGTCATCTTGAAAATCAAAGGCTCTTAAAAATGATTTAAATTATTCAGTCCATAGTTTCTAAATCACATAGTTAATTCAGAGGACAGTGAATATTGAGAAAAATTTTTATTTAACAGTTTTTGAGAAGTATTTACTTTTTTATGCTACTGCGGGATTGAACCCAGCGGGTACTATCCATTGAGCTACATCTCAAGCACTTTATTAAAATATTCCTATTTTGAGACAGGGTCTTGCTAAGATGCCCAAGTGGGACTTGAATTTGACATCCTTGTACCTCAGGCTCCCTGAGTACGAGGATTAAAAGTGTGCACTACTATGCCCAGCTTATTTATAATATTTGAAACTATAGAATACTATTTTTTGTGATATCAAAGATCCCAAACAATTGAGGTATTTCAAATGAGATGGGACATTGGATTCCCATATGTCTCTGAATATTCAGAAAATATAGAATTGCTGCACAAATCAGATTCCTTAATTAAAATAAACTAATTAATGACATTCAGAATAGATTTTTAGCCAACTCTAGTTTTCTTAGATTTATCTTCCATAGGAAAATCAATTACATTGCAGAATAAATCTTTGCTTTACATCTCCCCTTCTTTTAAGCATCTTCCTTTAATGTTTATTTTTCTTTGTTTTCACTGCTGTCATGAATGCTGACATAAGTGGAAATGCTATGCCAGGTAATGTCAGCATTGATTCAGATATACAGGTCATTATCTCAAAATTTGTTTTTTCTTTAATGAGAAAACTCTGTAAATGAGTGATGATAACAATGTAGTTTTTTATTTACAATATCAAATGCCTTAAAATTACATTTGACTGCTATATATTACAAATTGTTATTATCCTAGCTTAGAGTATACTAGAAATTGAGAAAGTATGTTACACAGAAATTGCATAATCTGCTTTTTGAATGTATATTCATAATGAGGATATCAACGATATTGTAATCTTTTAAAATTGTACATTTAATCCCTAACTAAAACCATAACAGTTAAATCTATCCGTGGCTGCATTTAGCTACTGTCAGTATATATATATAGTTTTTACATGAATAGTCATTATATATGATTTATATTTTCTCATGTGGTCTTTCCTCATCTTTTTTCATATCTACAAAGTTCCATAACTAAAAGGTCTCCAATTTAACTAGCAATGAGTAAATAGCACTTTGGGATTTTTTTTCTGACCTAAAAGATAATTTAACTGCTTATTGCAGTATATTCTATTTTATCAGTACATGAACTTTTGCTATTTTACAAACAGCTGCAAAATTTATCATACAACTTATTCTTAGTAAATCATTATGTAACAATCAGTAAGGGGGATAGACAGGTGGGCAGTGTAATTCATTTACAGTCTATATGAAATTAAGAAATATACTTGACAAGAATGTTTATGCCATTCATTCTGTTTGACTTACCTGGTCTTTCATTTGGGCGATAATAAAAGCTTTATTAATGGCTTAGTATAGGCTGATAAATGAACCACATTATGATGCAAGACTCTTAGTACTCCTTAAGTGTATTTCTTTACTTCTGTTTAATTTTACATGTTCTAATTATGTGAGTTCACTAGTTTTGTCATGTTTAGTTTATTACAACTAGATAACAGTAATGGAGGAGACAGACCCTAAATATAGGATTCTAACCTGTGTGGTAAATGTCAAGATGGAAATATAGATAGGATTGTTATAGGAACACAGGGAAGGTACCTAGACTACCTTGGGAAGCTGAAGCTAAGATTTAAAGCTTGATGAAAAGTTAGCCAAGCAAATAAAGTATAAATGTGGACAAATATATGAGGTATAGAATAACAGCTTGGTATTACTTGGACACACTATGAATTATATTACCATAAAGTATGAAGAAGGAATGGGTAGGGAAGTAATCAGGAGCATACTGTGATATCCCAAACAGCTAATGGAAAGAGTTTAAATCAAGAATGTGACATATTTGTTTTTTTTTTTTAATTCCTGTGACAGCAGGAAGATATTGTTGAGTATACCATCACTGAGGTAGAGGTCTATTGGGCTATTTCAGTAAGACTATGCAGACTAGAAGGCATGGGCTATAGCATGTTGACCTTTTGGGCCAGAGAGATTGAACTTTATTTACAATTTAATTTGCTTTTATTTATTGATTTTTCCCTTGTACTATTTTAAATTTTAATTTGCATTTTGTCTTAAAAGCATTTGATGTCATCTTTTAAAATGTTTTCAATTACCCTACCATATTTTTTTTTCTTTTTATTGAGTTTATTGGTACAATCTAGGTATACAATACAGTTACATTCATTATTGGGATCGTGTACCTTTACATGACAGGTCTTGATTCTCATTTTTTTTCCCTTGTCCCTGCCCTCCCTTCACCCCTCCTCCCCTCCCCATTTATAAACATTTTATTTCCATTTTTTCATTTTCTCATATTTTTTCCTCTCCGTTATTACCTTTTCCCCACCCTTCCCACTTTCCCTACACCTTTAGCCCTTTTCTTCCTATTTCACATTATTAATTATCTCATTAGGATCTTATGTACTATTACAGTTTTTCACACCAGAGAAACTATTCAGTATTTACACATGTAGCTTATTTATTTAACTTAATATGTATATCCTCAATATGTATCCATTTTCCTATGAATGACTCGAATTTCTCATTCTTTATGGATGAGTAGTATTCCATTTTATAGAAAAACCACATCTTTATCCAGTTTCCAACAGATGGGCAAATGGGCTGTTTCCAAGTTTTAGCTATTACAAACTGTGCCGCTATAAACATTGGTGTGTATATATCACTGTGGTATGATTCTTTTAATTCTTTTGGAAAGATACCCAGCAGAGGGATGGCTGGGATGGAACCTCTAGTCCCAGCTCTTTGAGGTATCTCCATATGTCCTTTCTTTTCTAACTCTGCCTTATTTGTACAAAATAAAAAACAACAACAATAAACTGGAGATTTTCGGATGAACTAATCTAAAAACAGTAAGTAGAATGAATAATTTAGAACTCTAGGATTCAGCAAAATATGACTTTGTAATTTGTGACTTTATGCTTCCTTATAATGATCAGTTAAAGAAATCTCTGTATGAAAAGTAAAAACAGGGAATCCTAAATTTATAAAACTAAAAGGG